CCTTTAAAGATGTATAGAAGAGTTTTAGAGACGGAATTTTCTTTCATCTTCTGTCCTGAGATATCAATTTTCAAATTTAAACTTTTAAAAAAGTAAATTTTTTCCCTTTTTTTTGAAATTTTTAGGTGTGTGTTAAAACAAGTGGGGCTGATATCAAGATTCCGTCACTAAAATTTGTCGATAAGTCATCAATGAATGGAGTCCATGCAAGACACTCATGTAGGTGTCAACCAGGAACGCAGGAAGTCTTTCTACGAAAAAATTTTTTTCGACTGAGCAAAGCTGTGAAGTTGAGCGTATAACCCAAACGACAACTGATCTCAATGTTATTTCTTTCCAAATGATGAGGAACTACCCACATAGTTTAAAGGTTTCAACCTGTTGAATCTGAAACCTTCTATGCACATTTTATCATGAACTTTGAAAATACTATTTTTGGCAATTTGGTCATTTTTTCACCAGGGTCCCCCTTAAGATGAATGCTCAAGCAAGGAATGCAAATTACCATCGCACTAAATTGCCATAGAAACTTTAGTGCATAAGGGAGAGTGGGGTAATTCCGGACACTTCGATTTTCACTGGGTTTGAGTGAAGATATAGCTCAAAAGCCCGCCTAACTGAGAGAGATAGTCAGTTTAAAATGATAATTCCAAATCGGCAAGGTAGGAGGTTAAGCTGTTTGGCTCTAGCTGGAGCATACCTGCAAGCACGCTCTCGCTAGCGCATGCCTGCCAAGCATGCACTAACTAGTGCATACACATGCCACACGCTTCCTGATTAAGACCACATGCAAAAAATCAGTGTCTGATACGGAGCATGGTACGGTGTTCCGTATACCCCCTGAAATGGTGGCAGGGACATCTGCCGTACCACTCATCCCATAAGAGCCTGTGCTTTGTAAAGCGTGGTACGGAAATTTAACGGAAAGTGTACCGCTAATTTTACACCGGAGGTTGCCGTTTCGGTTAGGTTAACCTAGAAGCAAGGGAACCAATGGACAAATTTGTGAACAGCTCTAGATAACTATACTTTAGAGCCATGGACAATGATATGTATATTCCGTAACCTTTAAAAACATTTCTACTCTAGTTAAAGTCTCCCTGGAATTTGGCCCTGGTGGGTTTTGAATCCAACTATGAACATAAAAAGTACGAAAGTATCCACAATAAAAGTCTTGAGCCTGTTACGGAAACACCTGAATGGATTCTGATCAGTGAAAAGTAAATGAACATGGATCTTAGGTGTGCATTGTTACACAACATGGCCCAATGGGCACTCACGCCGCTGCGCTGTCACTGACCGAGGCTTCTTCAATCCCTGGGCCGTGGCGATGGCAACAAGCACTTGACGCAACGCCCTCTCCTCGGACATGGCTGCGACTCCACTGACACGGCGAGAGCGCTCAGGGCGCGTGAAGGTCGCTCGGAGTGGGGGGCCGCGGGCTCTCTTCCTCACTCTCTCTCTTCCTCTCTTTCCCTCCCCCTTCCTTCCGCCCTCCTCCTGCAACCGGCTCGAACTGGTTTAGCGGCAAGACTCCACAGTCAAAGATCTTACGGGGAAGGCGGTACGCGTTATCTCGTGCGAAAGATGAGCGATATGGAATTGTTTAGATTTCTTATGCACCTTGGCTTTGCAAATTGAATGTAGCAGACAATTAATTACCACTGAAACCGATTTGACGCTTCACAAAACCTGGTGACAAAACTATAACCAGTTACGTAATGACATAACCGGGCTGCAGTTTGGTCTTGAGATTTGGAAATGCACGGAAATTGTTTCCCAGTGGTAACAAAAATAGTGCTGGGACATTAAGTAGGTGAAGGGCCTGCGTGACAAAATCCTGTTACGGTGGCACGCGAGTCGGAATGGGGTCGGGTTCGAGACGTGGGTGAGCGGGGTGCATTGGTCATCGGGAAAGTTGTTGAGTGAAGAAATTCCGGGCACTTCAAACAGATAAAAAGTGGTACTGAACCACCATTCCCTTCCTCAGAAAGGCTCCCCGTAGCCAGGGGGTGGCAACAGCCTAGTGCGCGCGTGAAGCTATGCGCGCCGCTCGGGCCGGCAAGGAGCGGCCGGGCGGCTGGGCCGCGCGGCCGAACCAAATTAAACAGAACTTTGTCAAAACTGCATCGAACTGAGTAAACGAGGTCATTTTTAGATTCTACGCAAAATTTCCTATCCGTGAGTGACAATGGAATGGACTTTTGGATATGTAAAACAGTTCTAAAATCAATTTGAAAACCAAATTTACGGCACCAGACAGCCGACTTGAAGTTTCCCTTTCACTAAAAAAGCTATTTCCGTTCGTTTTAGGTCCATACATACAGCGAGCCGATTGTTGGCCACTATTTTCCGGGTTGCTTGGTACACTTGGAACGCCAATACGACTTCTGTAGCAGAAATGCCGATCCAAAAACTAATTTCCATTTTTGGTCCAAAATTGTATTTTGCAACTTTGGAGGTTAAAAGGACAGTTTGAAATAGGTTTCTCAGCATTGTCAACCTCACCAAGCAACCCAGAATTCAATTATCTATCGCCCTGCTGTGTTGGATTTGCGAAAGGAGGTCAAACTTCTAATTAAAACGAAAAGGCCCGAAGCGCTGCAAAACCGCCAAAACAGTTCAAGTATTTTGTGGAGCTTAATGTGTGAAAACTATTTCTCAGATTGTAAATCCAACCACACCACCTTGTAGGCCAGCCAATTCTACAGCTCCATTGTAAGTTTCATCGCAATCGGAGACCAAGAGTAAAGACAGCTATAATAATTGTAAATCCCATCAGTTTGGTTGATTGGTCGAGCGGGCGCAAGTATGAGAAATCGCTGCGGCAGATTTTTGCAGCTAACTTTAAAATATATTCTGCCGCCTTCACTCTTGGTCTCCGATTGCGATGAAACTTACAATGGAGCTGTAGAATTGACTGGCCTACAAGGTGGTGTGGTTGGATTTCCAATCTGAGAAATAGTTTTCACACATTAAGCTCCACAAAATACTTGAACTGTTTTGGCGGTTTTGCAGCGCTTCGGGCCTTCTCGTTTCAATTAGAAGTTTGACCTCCTTTTGCAAATCCAACACAGCAGGGCGATAGAGAATTGAATTCTGGGTTGCTTGGTGAGGTTGACAATGCTGAGAAACCTATTTCAAACTGTCCTTTTAACCTCCAAAGTTGCAAAATACAATTTTGGACCAAAAATGGAAATTAGTTTTTGGATCGGCATTTCTGCTACAGAAGTCGTATTGGCGTTCCAAGTGTACCAAGCAACCCGGAAAATAGTGGCCAACAATCGGCTCGCTGTATGTATGGACCTAAAACGAACGGAAATAGCTTTTTTAGTGAAAGGGAAACTTCAAGTCGGCTGTCTGGTGCCGTAAATTTGGTTTTCAAATTGATTTTAGAACTGTTTTACATATCCAAAAGTCCATTCCATTGTCACTCACGGATAGGAAATTTTGCGTAGAATCTAAAAATGACCTCGTTTACTCAGTTCGATGCAGTTTTGACAAAGTTCTGTTTAATTTGGTTCGGCCGCGCGGCCCAGCCGCCCGGCCGCTCCTTGCCGGCCCGAGCGGCGCGCATAGCTTCACGCGCGCACTAGGCTGTTGCCACCCCCTGCCGTAGCGAAACCTCCGGCTTTCGAATCAACCTTTCGACTCAGGAGTCGACGGGTCCGTGTGTGTGTAGACTACTTCGCTGGATCCACTACGATCCTTTGAACAAATGCACCGGAAGTCGGGTCGCGTCGGCCAATCGGAAGCCTCCTTTCATCGGTGGTAACGCCTACCCTTGATGAAAGGAGGCTTCCGATTGGCTGACGGGACCCGACTTCCGGTGCTTTTGTTTACTCGAGGGAATCGAAGTGGATCCAGCGAAATAGTCTATTCTGTTGTGTCTTTCAGCAGCGTTGGTATGTCGCCGGAGAAGAGGTCTCAGTCCAGCCCAACCGGCGGGCCTAGCGGGGCTGCAAAGCGCTCCAAGCAAGGCGACCCGTCACAGCTTGACGAACCGTCTCCACAGAACAGGTAATAGGGTACTTTCGTAGAATCCTGAACCGGAAGCAAGCAGACCAGCAGACGCCAAAGTGGCCGGAAACTAACCTCTCTTCGGATCCAAAACTATAGCCGAGCTGTACAAATATTGCTCGCGAAACACATATGCACTGCAAACAAGTATCAAACGACTGTTTATGTTCAAGTGTGGCCGATACCTTTGACGAACGTCTCTTTCCCATGTCAAGTTTGGATCTACTTCCGCCAACATGGCGTCTGTGTGCTTCCGGTTCAGGGATCTACGAAAGTACCCTATTTGTGGGCACACGCATCAACTGCCTATGGACAATTTCAGGGAACACCCGGAAACCGTGCAGTGACGAATAAAGTGACGGAATAGTAATCAGCGCGGTTAAAATTTGTGACTAACAGGTGACCAATTTAGGACTAAATTTGACATTGCGGAAAACTGTTTCTGGATTGTTCAATACACTGAGAATCTAAACGCTATGAATATAGCGTCAATTGGTGCAATTCAAAAGCATTGCACGTGATATGCAATGCCTTCCCATGAATTAGCATAGGGCATTTTCGGGACGCATTGGACGTATGGTGCAATAAGGCTGGAGGCATTGCACGTATGGTGCAATAGGGTACTTTCGTAGATCCCTGAGCCGGAAGCACACAGACGCCATGTTGGCGGAAGTAGATCCAAACTTGACATGGGAAAGAGACGTTCGTCAAACGTATCGGCCACACTTGAACATAAACAGTTGTTTGATACTTGTTTGCAGTGCACATGTGTTTCGCGAGCAATATTTGTACAGCTCGGCTATAGTTTTGGATCCGAAGAGAGGTTAGTTTCCGGCCAATTTGGCGTCTGCTGGTCTGCTTGCTTCCGTTCAGGATTCTACGAAAGTACCCTATAACTCAGTGCATTGCTATACTCACAGCGTTTGGAATCTCTACAGAACATTCTAGTCGTCGCCCTTCATCTGCTTCAGATACTGTTTGACAAAGGAACTAAAGATATTAGTCATCATTTCTCCCTGATACCGGGATCTCTACTTACTACCTTCCTTTTCGGCTCTCTGTTTTGTTCTTCCCTTTATTCTGGGATCGGCGACGACTAGGATGCTCTGTTGTCCGAGACACAGATATTCAGTGCTGCCATGTTACGCGCTCGCTTCCGCTTCATGTTACGCCACGTTACGTTCATGAAGGCACAGTCAACCGGAAGTTCTGAGATCAAGAATAAGCGTTGGCATATTAACCCCTTAATGCTGATTTTGATTTACTAGGTAAAGTTAACACTTAAGGCTGAGCCCAAGTTTCCCACTTTTGAGAAGTTTAAAGTGAAGAGTTTTATATTGATCAACTATTCTTATATGATGTTTTGAAAGAAAAGGCCGTATAACCTTTGTAACAACACACACAGTCGAGAAATAAGTTGAAGTGGAAGTTACAATTCACAGTTCCCAAGAATTATTTTGAGATATAGATCTTTGGCCTTACAATGTAACATCCCTATCGCCAAACCCACATGATAGGAACACGGCAACCGTCTTGTTGATCTGAAAATAATAACAATAACTTGCTCAGAGGATGAGATAAAAGTAAGCCGAGATACCCATGTCTATTTCAGAATGTAATTTGAGTGTATGGTTTTGAGATTCATGTAGAGAAACAATTATTTTTGAAAATTGAGTTTAAACCTGAAACTTTGGAACACCCGGAGCTGTCTGCTACATCAGATGGATGAACATGGGAGTGCTATATTCGGGGTCGGATAATATATTTTGTCAAACTAGCTTTTTTTTTTAACATGTTTATTGGCCATAGGTAGTTTCAATAAATAATAATTTGCATTAGAATATTTAACAATAACAATAACAATGGTCAATAATAATAGTTGAAGTGAAGTGCGCAGAAAATTGATGACCATTATTTACAGTTAGAACATTGGGCTCCCAAGCTGGAGAGCTCTGAAACGATTGTGACGTCATCTTCGCTCGAATGTGAATTGTGTCACGTTCGTTTGTTTGAATGTTGATACATGCTTGTACTTTCTTACGTTCATGCTTGGAACGATTTGCAGTCTGTCATCGGTGTCGGAGATTTCGGTCAAACAGGAAGTAGCAACGAGTCCGGAAGCCACCATGAGTGCGTGCCGCTGTACCACGTGAGTGCAACTGTGCCAATTTTTCGCTCCTCCTTCCCGATCAGAGCCTGAATTTTCGCTTCTGTGCCGTACGGACGAGCAATGAATTTCTCTTTTCACATTTTTTATCGGAGTGATGCGCAGGCGTGGATACAGGGGGATGGGGTTTTTGCCCCCCCTCCCCAAATTATAGCCCCTAGATTGCCGCCAGAAAGATAGGCAAAAAGTGCTACTTTGCCCCTGTAAGTAGGCAATGAGTGCTACTTTGCCCCTGTAAGTAGGCAATAAGTGCTACTTTGCCCCTGTAAGTACGCTAAAAGTGCCACTTTGCTGCCCCCCCCCCCACCTCAATTATAGGCTGCCTCTGGATCCTGCACTGGCGATGCATGCTGTCGGAAAAACTCTGGTTGAATTCCAATGTTTTTGATCCATGAAGTGGTAGAAGCGCATGACTCAACTTTCGATACAATTGCATTTTTGTCTAAAAAGCCTTTCTGTAAACGGTTTATTTGATTAAAATCTTTACGTGAGCATGGACTACGGAATCATAGTTCTCTCTAACCAGGTGGAGTTTGGAGACAATCTAAGTGGAACTGAGGTCTGTGTAAAGTCTATATTACTGTGGTACATTTTAGGCGTTACCTCTTCTTTACAACTACTTAAGGGGAGTTAAGTGGACTTGATTCTTTTTGCATTAGATACATAAATACCCAAGTTTAGTTATCTCCATTTGCCATTTTGTGCATCGGAGCTATGTTGTTTTTTGGTTGAGTTCCTTCCATTTTCTGATGAAATTTAGACCGTAAAAGAGGTCAACTTGAGTTATGTCCATTTCTCATGTGGATTTTTTCCTCAACTGTTAGGAATTGGGTCAAGTAATTTGGTGTAATGATGCAAACCATCCTAATAGTTGGATAAAAACTCAATTTGGATATAAGTCCAATTATGCCCTTCTTCCGCTTCCTGGATCTTTCATTCGGATGCTTCCGGTGGTTCGTTGTTTGCTGCGCAGCTTCTGGTGTAGTGACTGCGGCAAGGAGGCCGACGAGCTGTGCGGGGACATGCAGCACTCCCTGACGTCCCTGCGCATGCACCGCGCGGGGCCGGCGGCCCCCAGGCTGCAGCGGCTGCAGACGGCGGCCTCGTCTGCTAGGAAGGTGGTGGCAGCCCTGCAGGACGCCCGGGACGCCGTGGAGGCCCAGCTGCGGGAATGGCGCGCCAGGCTGCGGCGGCTGGAGGACGCCGAGAGGGAGCTGTGGGCCGCGGCGGGGCAGGGCGGCGACCCGGAGGCCCTCCAGCTTGACGGCCTGGACCAACGCCTGCTGGACGCAGCCAGTCTCCTGGGCGCGCAGTGCCAGCTGCAGCTGGACGCGGACGGTCAGTGGAAGGCCAAGTTGGAGCTGCCGGCGTCGAACCAGAACGCCACTCTCTTCCCACTCGCACTGCAACTGCTTCAGGATGGCAGCCTTGTCAAGGTAAGGGAATCTTCCACTCATGTCGGCACCTTTTCTCTTATATCCATTGTTTAACATCCAGCCGGTTTAGAATGGATAGTTTACGCAAAGTGGGGAAATAACCACTGATGTACACAAACGTTCACAATAAATTTGGCATTTCTAAATGAAAAAAAGAACGAAAAATATACCGTTTTGTAAACAAATGCCTTTCCAAAACGGAATGTTATTGAACTCTGTTTGGAAACAAGATTTATGTGTGTTCACAGAAGAAAAAACATCACTTGCGTCATGCTTTTTCTGACATTTCAGTAAACAGAAGATATTGTTTTTAAAATTTGCGCCAACTTTTTCAGTTGTGACTACGAGCACTTCCTACCTATGTCCGTAAATTTCACCAAACATGTTTCAGTTACTGATGGCATGACAATTTGAAATGTAGACGTCCGACCTGTTGTCTAACATGAACCGTTCTGATTGACAATGGAAATTTTTAACAGTGCTTAGTTCTCGTTGCCTCATATACAATGTCAGTAAGTGCGAGAGAAACAGCAGACTTTTTGAAACTGCTCCGAAACTCTTTGTGGTTACCGTCATTTTCCCTTACTTGACAACCGGGTTGTCAAATGGGAAATAATTTTTAATCTCAGTTTACAATTCCGCATGAATTTTGGATGAACTTTCCTTAATTGCAGCTAAATGTCCATGAATTTATTTGCAAAGTCTCTTTAAATTTTGTCTAATTAAACTGATTTAAGAAATTTTACCATAATTCAAGATAGTCCATGAATTTCGGTGTTCAAATTTAACTGCCTTTAGGACAAAGGGGCGTAAGTCCAGCTCCTTTACTTTTTCAGGAGGCAGTTTCAAGTAGTTTTAAGCTTTGTTTTGACAAATATGGTGAATTTCAGGTGAAAGATAACGTGGTATTCAGAAAACAGTACAAATTGTTCCATGATCAGTTACCGTCAACGGGGGTAACTTGGGACACTTTTTCACGTTTTTTGAACGCCAGAGGCAAGATTCTCAACCCAGACCATTGGATACTAACTATGTTAAAGTTTGACCCTTTTTCCATGATTCCATGCTTGTCTGGTTCAGTTGCCTCGATTACATCGTTTCCAAGCGGTCCCGAAAGAGTGTCCCAAGTTACCCCATGACCGGGGGTAACTTGGGACAGTAGGTAATTAGCTACGTTCCCATGCATCTATTGATGTTAATGGACGTAATAAATTTAAGTCACAACATATAGACCAAAAATTCAGGCCTTGGAACTCTTGTAGAACCGATATTGGACTATATCTAGGGCTCTGTGTGAAACTCTCTTTTCTACTGGTATTTTCCAGGCATTTTCTGAATATTTCAAGGAATGGATTACCAGAAGACAAAACTGCAGAGCAAGGCATCTCTTTCCATCATGAGCGTAAAATCCGAAGTTTAAGTTATGTCAGGGACCAGGTCAGTCAACTCCTAGGAGGCTACGACTGCTGGAAACATTAGGAAAAGACTGTCCCAAGTTACCCCGTAAAATTTCGATTTTTGAGAAAATGAAGTCTGGACCGCAGATGGGAAAACTATAATCAAAGCCCTTTTGCGAGCTTTATTGTCTGTGTATGATCTAACGACCCAGAGAGACTAATCGGCCAAATCTGCATATCACTCCTTGCACTAGGGTCAACTTGTCAATGTTTAACAAATTTTGTCAAAAACCCTATTATGTAGTTTCCCGTTTCTCAAATACTAATTGTCATGTTATGCACCTTTTCTACCTTTCTCCGCGCGTGCCCTGAGGCCTCTGAAAGAAAACCCTGCTGCGGGGTTTGACGCTAGGAACCCCCGTCGCGGAATGGCAGCACCAACAAGCTGTACAGGACAGACTGTCCCAAGTTACCCCCGGTGTCCCAAGTTACCCCCGTTGACGGTACGGCATTTCTTGTGAGATATTCACAGATAAATATCACATTTTGACGTAGGTCCATGCGTTGTCTGACAAAAGAGCTCAAGTCCACACCAGTTTTCTGGTCCTTCCAAACTAAGTCCATATGAACTTAAGTGGTTGTGTCAGAAAACGGGTGGACCCATGCTCTTTAGTAGGAAAACGTCGCGCTGCACTAAAGTACTTTCTCAGAAAACATGTGGACTTCAGTGGTTTGGTCGGAAAACGGATAGACTTGTGCCGTTTTGTCAGAAAACGTGTGGACTTGGGTTGTTTGGTACAACGCTATAATTGTGAACTAATTATGTTAGAATCATAGGTTTTTCGCCATTTTGTGTAAAGTTTCGCCAGCACGCTGGAAAAAAAAGAACAACATTTTGACCAAAATGTGGACTTACGTCACTTTGTCCGAAAACCAGTGACTTTTTAAAAGATGTTTCCCCTTGACGTAGTTAAAATGTCTTGATGGCTTTGACGTGTCTAGAGCTCTCTTTTTTTCTTGAATTAAAGTCATTGAATTTGGGTGCTCAGTAATTGCCTTCATTCAAGTAAACGCGGATTGCTTGCAGGTCTTCCGGCCCGACGAGTACTTGGACGTCAGGTCTCTGAGTAGCCAGGACGAGCACAGCCAGGAACTGGAGGACTTCCTGCTGGACCCTGCCTTGTCCAAGGTTAGTAAGACTGCTCTCTGTACGGACAAGGGCAAGCACAAAACCGTCAAAATTTTATTTCGACACTTTTTCCCACCCTCTTTCATTACACTGCAAACCGAACTGTCTACTAAGTACACACTGTCAAACGCATGCTTGGCCAAGTACACACTTACAAATGCATGCTTGCAAGTACACACTTACAAACGCATGCTTGGCGCATAGAGTTATACGGCGTCAAGCATGCGTTTGTAAGTGTGTACTTGCAAACATGCATTTGTAAGTGTGTACTTGGCCAAGCATGCGTTTGTAAGTGTGTGCTTGCAAGCATGCATTTGTAAGTGTGTACTTAGTAGACAGTTAGGTTTGCAGTGTAGTCAATCGAAGGTCTTTTTTTATTTGCTGAATGTTAAATTTGAAGTTTATTGCTGAAGCTAAAATTGAATATTCAAACATAAACGGTACAAAGTTTGCTCAGAAACCCTTCAAGGTGTGAACATCCCTGGCGCGGAGAGGCGACCAGTTCGCAGACCCCACCTATACTCGCCCCTTTCAATGCACCTTGAGTATATTTAAGGTACTAAATATTCGGTTTCTGGCATGAAGTTCAAGTAGGCTCAAAATACTCTGTCATAACAAGCTACACTACTGCTGTGTTAAGTGTGAAGGTTTTGATAGTGTAATGCTAAAGGGGCTTGGATTTTTTTTTTCGAAAATTGATTCCGTCTATGCTAGTTCTAGGCCTAGTGTCATTTTGCAAGGAAATTATTTTGGTATTTTTTTCATTTTGATCAAACAGCGAGAGAAGGACACCCAAGGGGGGTGTATCACAGTTGTTCCCCCCAAGGACTACGAAATTTTCAAATTTCCTGTAAAAACTTTTTAATTTTTTTATTTCTTTTTTAAGTTTGCGTTTCTTTAGGAATTCTTGATTATTCTTTACGTGACGTGAAACAGTAAACGAGGGCTCTAATGTTTTGAAAATAATACTTTTGGCCTTCTCTAGTGAGCGGCCCTTATCGCGGATGGCTCTTTGCAGGTGCGGAAGCTCGAGGACGTGATCTGCGAGACGCGGCCCACCTGGTGCCGGGTGCTGCTGCAGCGCGTGGCGCCGCGCGTCGAGTGGCTGTGGGTGGACAACGCCGCTCCGCGAGCACCTGGAGGTGATCGCCGGCATGCCCGCGCTGCGCTACCTGTACGTGAGCGTGGAGGGCGTGGTGACGGACGCCCCCGACCTGCCGGTGCAGCTGGAGGAGCTGGACTTGTGGCACGTGCCGCCGCAGCTCGCCGCGTCGGTGCAGCGCCTGCCCAGCCTGCGCAAGCTCACCTTGTCCAACTGCTACGACGGCGCGGTGGACGTGACCTTCCCCGCGCTGCCGCCGCACCACCGCGGCCTCCGCTGGCTGTCCGCCTACCTCCACCCGGTCTCCACGGTGCTGTCGCTGGCCAAGGCGCACGCCGCCACGCTGCAGGAGCTGCGGCTCATGTGCGCCTCGGAGTCGGACGGCACCACGCCGTGGCACTTCGCCGACCTGGCCGAGGGGCTACGGCGGTGCGAGCTGAGGGCGCTGCGCAGGGTCGTGCTGGTGCGAGGCACCATCCGAGGCTACGTCGACGACGACGTCCCGCACGAGGCCAACTCGTGCAAGCAGCAGAAGAAGTCGATCTGGGACCGACTGCTCGCCGTGGACGCCACCAGCGTCGTCAAGGTGCTCTGCGAGGTCTGCGACAAGTGCCCGAAGTTCCCGAAGCTCGGTGACTTCACCTGGAAGGACTAGGGAGGGCGTTTGCTGCTCATGGAGACCTGCGTCATCCCGAAGGACCGATTCAGCTCATTGCGGCCAGAGCGGCAGGTTTTTGTAAGTCGGAGTCTAGAGCTTTGTCCGTTCTAGTCTCCAGTTTACAAACAATTGGAAAACTGGCTGTCACTGCTTAACGTAGCTCATTAAGTTCCTCGTGCTCTTAGCTTTTCGTTCCCATGCCTGTTTTTGTTCAGTGATGTCTTTACCTCTCATGCTGCTAGTTCTTTGAGGTCTTTGTGCTGATAGTTCTTTTTGATGAGTAAAATAAAGAAACTGTCATTGCATGATTGCTTCGTTCTGTTTTTCTTGAGGAGGTGGCTTCATGTTCCATTTTTGGCCCGTCTCGGAGAACTCATCTGGCGGCTCCGCACCCCATAGCAGAAGAAACCCATTTGCTGAACCCATTTTTGGCCCGCCCTTCTATTCAAAAAATAGGGGGAGGGCCTATGCATTTGCCTTTGTGTCTGTGTGTTGTTGTTGTTGTTGTTGTTGTTGGCGTCTGTGTACAAGGAAGGAGTTGAGCTAGAGTAACCAGATTTGGAGGGTACTTCAGGAGTACCGTCCCACTGACTTAGAAGTATGTGTATTTTCTGGGGCACGCAAGCCTTGTGTTTAGTATCAATTTCCTTCTTAGGGTCAGGGCGGGGAAAAACCGGACACCTGCAAGTTGGGGAAGAAACGCACACCGCACTTTCGCCACAAATTTGCCTGTTTTGGGACGTGCAAAGTATTCAGTATTGCTTACTGATGATCTGCTAGATTGCGTTTCAGAGGAATTTAGCCTACTTGAACCGGAAAGTATTCAAAGTCACCTTTAAACGAGGTCTCGTTTAAAACACCTTAAAAACTTTCAAAGTTGGTGCCCGCAATATCTCTTTTTAATGACTTTCCGAGCCTACTGTGACGAACATTCTTATTGTAAACGAAAGTTGGAAGTGTGGAGCCCAAGATACGTTCAAATGTTTTAGCAGATTTTCAGCTGGATTACATATGAAGGGTTAAATACGAAACGGGGAAAAACCGTACACTGGTGCGGGGAAAAATCGAACACCTCTTTTTTCTATAATAATCGACGAATTGCCCTAACATCCCACCAAAGTGGTCGTAACAAGTGTATTTTAGCATTTCCCAACATTTAGTGGGAAAACAAACACGGCTGTTGACGATTTCATACATTTTGGTCATTTAACCTCAAAAACGTGCCGCCACGGACCCCCTTACAATGCTACGATGATTTCTGTCTACCTAGGAATACTCGTGCGCCTGCTTCAGTGGGTATCGCAAGTGTTACCCCCAAATATCGTTCCCAAGAGATTTCTGACCTACTTTCATAGGTTTTTGTTAAATTAAAGCCTATGTCCGATTTTTCCCCTTAGGTGTTCGATTTTTCCCCGTTTTGACGGGGAAGAATCGCACACAGTTTTCTCTCATTTATCACTGAATGAAGCCGCAAACGCACTCGCTTAGGGTTGAAATGTCTTTCTTTGAGGCTCGATCAACAGACCCAACGGATACATTGGCTAAAGATAGTCAATGAGAGTCAAAATCGAGAAAGATTGCAAAACGTCCAGTTCTTCCCCGCCCTGACCCTACACCACAAGGCTGCGCAGATGACCAATCACATTTAAAAATAGAAATATAGTACTCTTTAAAAAGTTGTTGCCGGTACTGGGGCGGGGGGACTCGGCGCAGCGTTCTGTCGCGGTAGCAGCCGTGCGCCGTAATTTGACACTGCGAGATAAGCCCGCCGCGCGCCGCGCTCTCCCGCCCGGCCGGCCTACTCGGTGCGTGTCTGAGTGTCACCAGTTTGTCCGACAGGCCAGCAGGCGGGGAGACCGGGTCGAGAGTCTCTAGGTCGTCAATCTGGTATGGGTCTGGAGCCATGTAATTATGTTTTATTTAATTTATGATAGTTTTGGGTTTTACTTTGACCTTTGTGTTAGTTTAAACTTTGTAAAAAATAGACTGTTACACCAATTTGAACAAATTTCATTGCCATCGAATGTTGTTGATTTCGGTGAGGACCACCTGCTGAAGGCAGAGGTCTCCCCGCCTGCTGGCCTGGCCGGGGGAAATAAGGGACCGGTCCTCAGTGGCCGCGTCCCCCTCGCCACTCCACCCGCCGCGCTTCGCCTGGCCGTCCTGACGGCGCTCTCGGTGCGTGTCTGCGTGTCGCCAGTGTGTCAAACTGTCTTCCGATTCATACCGCACCGCTCAGCATTTCGCGTCTCGAGACCAGCTTACCGGGCCTGCGGGGCCACGGCTGCCGGCCGCGCGTATAGTGGAAGCGCGTACCGAATGGAAGACCAAAACGAGAATTTGATTTAGGTGGTAACAAGGTGGCTTCTAGTCAAGTTATTAATGTTCAATACAGTTGATTACAGCTCAACAGAGAAATTTTGTTCAAGCGCCTACCTCTATTTGCCTCGGGCAGTCACCGCGTTAAAAATGTATATTTTTATTTTTGAAAACTAAGACGTGAAAACCTGGCGGGCGCGGAAGCCACAGCCGTGGCGCGTTTTCCACCGCGTGCTTGATGACGCGTTCCCTGACTGAGTGTTGTGACTGCCGTATCGCGACACGCGAAACTCAAAGGTTGCCGCGCAGGCCCTGAAGAGGGAGTAAAGAGGAACAGGCACGGAGGCAGGGCAGGAAGAACGGAGAGGAGACAAACGGAGAGAAACAGGCGCGACAAGCAGGTAGAACAAACGTGCATGATTAGGTCCTTTCTTTGGCCCTGGTAATAACTTCAAATAATTTGTACAACTGATGTGAACGCTTATTACATTTATTAAGTTTTGTTAATTCCGTTGACGACCGCCAGGTGAACTGGTGGGAACCCCGCGCAAAGTGCATCATCAAGTCTGACACTGCGATGCACCTGGTTTTCCCTCCGGCATACGCCTCGCGCCTTCGCCCAGCCGCAGCCCTGGCCAGGGGACGGGACGCGAAATGCTGAGCGGTGCGGTATGAATCGGAAGACAGTTTGACACTGGCGACACGCAGACACGCACCGAGAGCGCCGTCAGGACGGCCAGGCCGGGCGGAGCGTGGAGGTGGAGTGGCGCGGGGGACGGGAGCACCGGGGGGCCGATCCCTTATTCCCCCGGCCAGGCCAGCAGGCGGGGAGACCTCTGGATGTTGAGGTTCACGGTTCGGTAAAATTACGGCGCATCGTTACAGGCATCGACGTGAAAATTGGAGACGCGTTACAGAACAAGATTTCCTAAAGGGCGGCGGTCGCCAAATTTCCATACCTTGCGCACAGCCGCTCTGAATGCGGCTCAACTTCATTCAAAATTTCAAAGCTAGAAATTTTACGCATTAAATTTTCCGGAGAAAATCTGACCCGACCGTAGGCGAGGATGACTCTTCAGGAAGGCACGTGCAAAGTTTCAGAATTTTTGGTAAAGGCGTTTGCGAGAATACAAACTTTACGTATCGGTCTACATCGCCTCCCGAGGCGGCGCGCTCCTTCCAACGCGCTCGGCAAGGCTCACTTTAGACTCCTCTCCGCGATGCGCGCGGTCAGCGACGCTAACTCTGCGGCACGCGCCGCGCGCCTCGGCTACTCACGGCCAGCAGCCCAAGCCAGCCGGCAAGCAGGCCTCGGGGCGCGAAACGCTGAGCTGGGCAGAATGAATCGGAGGACAGCCCGACACACCAGTGTCACGCGGACATGCCCCGAGAGCGCCGACAGGACGGCCGGGCGAAGCGCGGCGGGTGGAGTGGCGAGGGGGACGCGGCCACTGGGGACCGGTCCCTTATTTCCCCCGGCCAAAAATCCGTGGTGAGGCTCAACCTGCGGAGTCCTAAAAGTACTGCAACCACGGTGAAGATTTGACCGCACATTTCTACACTGTTAGAAATTAGCTCCGAAATTTTATGGAGAAAAACTCTATAATCACGTTCATGGAGACTCAATTTATTATCAACCTTTTTTTCGGAGAGTTTTTTTCAGGGCTTGAACAAATGTTCCTCGGAGCATTACTTCGTTCCTGATGGGAATTAAAATGCACGTCTTTTCTCAGATATTTGAAAGAGGGCTTCGCCGAAGCATTCTTTGGTCTGAAATGGCAAGAAGGGACAATCTCTTTCGAGCTCCTTTGGGTCCTCGAGATCCTGTAGGTATCCCTCATGAAAACTGAGCTGAACAAAATAGAGGTTCACCTTTCCCTCATTTTTTAATTGGTTGCAAACTTTTTTTCGTGATCTCCTGATAGAGAAGCAGGCATTCTGGTTCCAAATTCCGAAACTTTTCGGAGAAAGCCCAGAGTTTTCATTTATGGAGATCTCTTTGCTGAAGTTTAGGAAAAACTACATGATTTTTTTAGCAGATGATACCTTTAGTACTTTAAAACGTACCTAGAACAATATAAAACACTTAAAGGTGTCAGCTAGCTTTTACTCGAGAGTCCAGAAACCAAGGCTGTATCCTAACAATAATGGGGGCTGGCTGCCGGGGCGGGCTGGTGAGTGAATGGGTGAAGCTCAGCCTGCGCGACGCATCGACAACTCCTCCTCCGGGTACAGCGCGAGCGGCACCGGCCAACAATGCCCTACCCCCTCTTGCACAGTCCCTCCCCGGTACAGCGCACAGAGCAGCAACAATGCCTCACGGCTCGGCCCAGCGCGCTCGGGGCACGGCGCGGCGGTGCATGCCACAGCTCGGCTCGCACCAACACTGTCCAGCTCGCTTAGGTCTATGTATTTTATTGGGCTATCTATTTCATTTCATACACAATTATGAATAATCCCGAACTACTACCTGGAAGAAAACCAAACGAGTATCATCTGCTTTCATTAACGTTCGTTGAATGAGATTTTTCCATTTTTTATCGGAAATTTCTGACAGTGCTGTCTTTAACGCAGAATTAGGAAATTGTGACAATATTTGTGTAACATTCAGCAGAGTCTAAGTGTTTAATGTTTCGTGGGTTCAGAATTCACTAGAAATGACCCGACGTGTACAACCCATTTTGAATCAAGCGATGACCGCAGATTGTGACCGTGAACTGAACGAAATTGTGGTATACAGAAAGTCCTGACCAAACCACCGACAGACTCTTTTATTGGCCAGCGCCCGCACTCGGCCCTTGACATCTGCTTATTCTGCACTTGGTGTCGCGTTCCGTCCGCGCCTGGCTGCTGCACGGTAACAACGGAACCTGGTTTTCCCAGGAAGCCTACGGTGAAGACATAAGCGATTTCCAGAGAGTTCCTGGGAAAATCAGGTTCCGTTTTTACTGTGTGGGTAAAGTAGAACGCCCCTAACACGGGGCTCGGTGGGGACTGCAGAGGCCACATCCACCGGTGATTGTTTTTTTTGTTGTTTTTTTTTTTTTTTAAGTCGAATTTGCTGACAAACAAAATGCAATTTTCTAAATGAGCTCTATGAGCAGGGGCAGAGACACAGTTAGCCGAGTCGGTTGAAACCACCGAACCGCCATTAAAATTTAAAAAACGAACGTGTCCTCTTTACGCTACTTTCAAACTCTAAACCTCCGTTTTCGTTCTACAAGATACCTGATCGGCCATTTTCAAGAATCGAAACTATTTTCCTTACTTCTTCCTAGGAATGAATTCGTTGGTATGAGCATGAGTCTTGCATCGACCGAACCCGAATCGAACCACGGGAACGGTTCAGTCACCGACCAGCTTGCTTCGGCAATTGCCATTAGCAATCGTCACCAAATCGTTCGGTACGCCTCATTGTTGCACGGAATAAAGTTTGCAAGGCCACAGATAAATGTCTACAACAAAAAAAAAACCTGTTTCTGCCGGGAATCGAAGCCGGTCCCTTGGACTCAGAACCAGAATCGGAGAACGACGTCTCTCTCTTGCATGACAGAAGCGTCCGTCTGTGCCAACGATAGATAACAAGTCGACATTGTTCTAGGGAGTTTAGCTCGAAAGAGTTAAATTGACTTAACCCGCACAGCGCTTAAGTATGCAGAGGATAAGTAAACATAGCGCCAAGTGCTCTCAGGTACTGAGAGATAAGTCGATTTAACTCGTGGAGGGTGTGAAAGTGCAATGAGACAAGTAGACTCGTCTCGTTTGGACAGCCGCGTCCAAACGAGATAAGTCAGAATCTTGCTATATCTACAACAACGTCAACATTTTGACGAAATAAATCGATCTATAATGATCTGCATGACGTAGGAATCTAAAAAGATTAGTAAAAGTATCAAATTTGGTACAGGGACGTGCTTTTTTCACTTTCCTGAGGTTGTGTCATTCGACTTATCCCCCTTGGCCGCTTTTTATGTCGTCCAAAGGAGTTAAGTCGACTTGTCTCCATGCAGTCAGTGCGGAAAAACAAGATAAGTCGACTTAACTACAGGGCCTCTCAATCCATGCTGTTAAGTCGGCATACCTCCCCAGTGGGGTATTGCTCTACAAGATAACTCCACTTATCCCCTTTTTCAATTGGCTTGTGAGCCCAAACTATAATCACTAGAATCGAACAGACTATTGCAAACGATGCGCAGGATCACGCTCTTTCGGATGGTCGTGAAAACCCCATTTCGGGATAAGTCGACTTATCCCCTTTTTCCGCTTCGCCACTGAAATAATCCGGTGGTGCAAATCCCGTCCGGGTCGCACAAGGGCTGCTGCAGGTGCATCATGGTTTACATGACCGGGAGGGGGATTTCCGCCATTATTAGTGCTAGCAGGGCACATAGGGGTATTTTTGGAATCGGGGCGACGAGACAAGATGAATGGACCTGGTCCCGACCCCATCGGCCGCTTTTACAAGTTGGCCAGATCAGGATCTTCAAAAAAGGGGGTCGACCGACTAAAAAAATTTATTGCAGATTTCGATTGGTCTCAGCAAAACCTTTTCAACGAGGGGTCAGAAAGGGGGTCCAGGAGCCCGACTTCGTCTATAAGTCACATCAGGATCTTTAAAAAAGGGGGTCGACCGACTAAAAAAATTTATTGCAGATTTCGATTGGTCTCAGCAAGACCTTTTCAACGAGGGGTTGGAAAGGGGGTCCAGGAGCCCGACTTCGTCTATTAGTCACATCAGGATCTTCAAAAAAGGGGGTCGACCGACTGAAAATTTTTACTTAAGTTTTCGATAGGTCTTGGCAAGACCTCTTCAACGAGGGGTCGGAAGGGGGGTCCAGGAGCCCGCCTTCATGAGTTATGGGAAAAAGTGCGACGGACTCGTTTTGCGCTCCTGCTGTGCCTCTATTGCAAGGAGTTGCAGTAGCATGGCAAATATGGGTATTTTCGGAATGAGGGCGAAGAGACAAATGAAATGGGCATATTCTAAGGACAGTTGGAGTAAAAAGTGTATGGACTATTGCATATTGTGAATAGAAGGGCGGGCCTAAGTCACGATGGTACATCGATAACTTTGCTTTACCCGCTCACGGTGTGTGTGATGCGAGCGGGCCGAAGGCCCGGGCCTTCGACTGGCCAAGTTGGGTCTGATGCGAGGGCCGAAGGCCCGAGAAAAGGCCGCCGGCAGGCCAAGCTGGGCCGGCCCCCTGTCGAACCGAGTTGCCGGCGCAGCGAAGCGGAGCTGGCAACTCGGTTCGACGGAAGGGCGGGCCCTAGCTTGTTGTAATGAGCTTTGCGATGCTGCACCAATTCCGACAGTCCATGCCTGGCGTTTTCACCAACGTATGGGCCCGCGGCGCTCTTCTACCTTTAGGAGGCGTTTTGGAAGCTTCTTTCCTTGACATCGACTTACACACTGTAAGAAAAAAGTCATAACATGTTATGAAACCGTTTTCATAACATTGTTGTGAAATTGTTATGAAAAAGTCATAGCACATATGTTATGAAAACTTATAACGCTGTTATGGAAAAATGTGAAATTAACAACAAAAATGATTTCGTCACTGGTAGCCATTTGATGCCATTGCTTGGACGGGAAGGGCGAACCACTTTTTTAAAAATTTAACATCTTTAATAATAAATAAGTTACATGGGGAACAGAGACCATTACATTGGACAAAAAAAAATTGTTTGTGAAAAACTGCTTGTCTGGGCCACGTCAACTGAAAAATGTTTGCTTTTATTACTTGTTGACGGAGCAGATAAAGGCCAGACGTACAATAGCCTAGTTAGTTTTTGAACAAATACAGATAATTGAGCTATACCAAGTGCGTTGGAGGGAGAAGGATGGCGCAGGTATATGACACCCCGCCGCGGCGGGCGAAGGTGTTATGAAAATTCATAATAAAATCATAACTAAGTTATGAAAACTCATTACAAGCGACTTGTTATGATAGCGTTATGAAAAAGTTATAAATCACTCAATGTTATAAATTTCATAAAAATTTCGTAATGAAAAGTCATAACCGTTTTTACAGTGCAGATTACCATGATCGTAAAGTCGTAACAGCTTTCTGTTTTCGGTATTCTCCTAGAAGGCTCCGCCCCTCAGATCCTGTATTTGACTCGAGTCAAAAAGGTTCATGATATCTTCGAGCTTAGCACTTAGCACCCTGGGGAAAAATGGGCACTACCTAAAGAAATCAGCAAAAAATTCAGGTTAAAAGAAGGCTGTACTGGGTTTGGAGCCTTGGTCGGGGTCATATTGGATCTCATTTCCGTTATCTTTGAAGAAAAGACTTCTGAAGCAGCTACGGAGAATTGTCGCAGAGTGTTTCTTTTTGATTTCTCCGTTGTCTTTTAAAGTGAGTGTGTTGTGATCTCCCGAAACCCCTGCGGACACGGCTGTAGGCCACCCAATGCACACTAGTGTACGTCGGGCGGCAGGCGGGGGCGGTGTATGTATCGAGTCCACACTCAAAAAACCTTGCAAAGTATTCTCTGGCATTGTATTGCAAACTCTCTTACAAACTATTTTCTTTGCACTCCGAAGTATTTCTTTGCAACTTGCAAAGAAAATGCTTTGCAACGTTACAAATCAATTTTACAAATTTTCTTTGCAACTTACGAACTATTTCTTTGCAATGCGAAGAAAAAAGTTCGCAAGGGAGTTTGTAATACAATGCCGGAGAATACACTGCAAACCTAACTGTCTACTAAGTACACACTTACAAATGCATGCTTGCAAGTACACACTTACAAACGCATGCTTGGCAAGTACACACTTACAAATGCATGCTTGCAAGTGCACACTTACAAACGCATGCTTGACGCCGTATCACTCCATGCGTCAAGCATGCGTTTGTAAGTGTGTACTTGCAAGCTATCGTAAAGTACTGAGAATTAGCTAGTTATTATGACTGCACGGCATTTCCCAGTACCTCTTTTGGCCGCCTCCACCGGTCTTCTTGACATCAAACGATTCTATCTTTGGACTCCGAGAATAGTTGGGATTTCGTAATTCGAGGCAGAATGAGGCCGCGGCCAGGCCAAGTGAACGATTCCGCCCTACCTTTTTATCAAGATACAATCTCGTGAGCCGAACGGTCATTCAGGGCGACAACCCGAGGTGCTTGCTGTGACCGAACGAACCAATGACAGCGCTCGCCGGGCTGAACCAACCAATTAGGTCGCGCTGTCGTCACCAACGTGTCACCTTCCCTGCGTGAAGCCCCGACGCAGCCCGGCACGGAATCAGGTCCTCCTCTATCAGTATAGGAAGCGTCTGCAGGTGCGTGGCAACCCCATTTGGCGTCGCGCAAGTAGCAATAATCTAATCGGAGAGAGCATAAATAGCCGAATTCTCGAGCTTGGGTCAGTGGTTCCCACGCCGCGGATGCAGACGGCGTTTCAGTGCAGTGTGTGCTCCCGTCTCAAAGTGAAAGTCATCAAGAATGCAGCCCCTCTTAGCCGTGCTGTTCCTGTGCGGACTGGTGGCCTGCCTTATCAAATTCATTCGAGGCCGACCGCCCTTGTTCCCGCCAGGTCAGTGCCATCTCCTTGGATTCCCAGGATTATCGGTCAAACAAAAATCTCCTGGGATTCTCAGGAATGATCGTTTGTTAGGAAAATCTCCTGGGATGCTTAGGACTATTGGATAATGTCCAGGAAAATCTCCGGGGATTCTCAGGAATATCGGATGATGCGCAGGAAAATCTTCTGGGATTCTCAGGATTATCGGATGATGCCCAGGACTGGGATTTCCAGGAATATCGGATAATGCGCAGGAAAATCTCCTGAGATTCTCAGGAATATCCACTGTTAAAAATGGTTGTACAGAAACAATCAGATGAGTGAAAATTTAGTCGTTCCAAAACATAGAATTTCATCATGAACCAAAGCGAAACAAATGTCGTTGAGTCTAGTAAGCGACATTTTGTCGTTGAAGAACAAAATTCTTGTTATCACTCTTTACGATACAATTTGAGTGGAAACAACATCTTTTGCAATTATCTGCTCAATTAAAGCATATTATGAATAAACATCTCTTTTGTTCTTCTAAGTCATAGGGAAATTACTATTGTTAAAAAGAAACTATGCAAAATAAATTTAGCGACAAAAGTACTCTATGTTTATTGTCGCAGACATTACAAAATTCCTTTTGGACTTTCAATACTTGTCGTTGATGTGTTATTGTTGGTGCGTTATTACAATTAAGTCGTTGTGAAATTATCCCTTAGTTCCAATACGACTACGGTTTAACAAGCTATTCGTTCCACAGCAAATCTTGTCGCTAAAAAAGTTAGCGATAAATGTGTCGCTAAGTTACGACAAAATTTTTATCAGTGTCGGTCGATTCCCCGGAGATGGTTTACCGCGTGCGGCCGCAACTGATGCGAATTTGTGTGCTAAATTCCTTTTTATCTTGACAGGACCTCCACGTCTGCCCGTGTACGGCGGCTACCTGCACCTGCTGGCCTACAACTACCGCTACACGCACAAGGGGCTCGTCGCCATGGCCGCCAAGTACAAGTCCCCAGTGCTGGGCATGTACGTCGGGTCCACGCCCACCATCATCACGACCGACTTCGCGTCGACCAGAGAGCTGCTGCTCAAGCCCGAGTTCCAGGGCAGGCCGGACATTTTCACCGTCCGGCTGCGCAGCTTCAACGAGCTGTGGGGTGAGAGGAGTCCTGGACCAAGCTCCGCGCAGTGAGCCAGAAGACCGGTGGAGGCGGTCAAAATTTCGGACACGCTTTGAGCTCCTGTGTCGCTAAATGGGACTGGAACCAAACGTGTGACCCCACCAATAGATTCCTCGTCCGAAGAGCAAACCGTTGGTGGGTTGGTTTGAGTACCATTTAGCGACTCTGGGGCTCAAAACGCGTCCGTGATTCTGACCGGCCTCCATTGGTCCTCTGGCCCACTGTGCGCCGCTAGGAAAACAATACAGGGTGCATATGTCTGTATATGATGCGTTTGAATGTGACTGATGTCATTTAATTTTGCTTACCCGTCATTTTTCTCCATGCTGACATGTGACCTTTCAAAGTAGACGTTTCAAAGAAAAGGAGCTTGTTTTAACAAAGTATTTTGGGCATTCATAGACTTCAAAGAGAATATTTCGTAATTTAAGAACTATTTATTCGCATATCAAATTAAATGGTTTCTACTTGTACTTGCATAAAAACAAAATGCTTCATATGAGGGTTGTGTTAAGTCTGCGTTGTCTGAGTCCTTTCTGTCCGACATGTAGGGGTGCTCTTCACGGAGGGGCCCCTCTGGGCGGAGCAGCGCCGCTTCTCGCTGCGCCACTTGCGGGACTTCGGCTTCGGCCGGCGCTTTGACAAGATGGAGGCCGCCACTGAGGAGGAGGTGCGCACGCTGCTGGACTCGATTCGCTGCCCCGTGGCCGCCGAAAAGGTGCGTGATCTCTCATCGTCATCGCTCAAACTTGTACGGACGAGGGAAAACCAACTTTAAAAAAGGTGTAATCACATTTTTCTCGTAGATGAGTTTAAAATGAGTGAGAAGCTAGAAAACCCCAAATCCCCCCCCCCCCAAAAAAAAGGATTGTCAAAGGTTGTTTTTTTCCTCGGATGTAAGACGCTTTGGAACTCAGGAGCAAGTCTACGAAACATCTCTTCGCAGTTACAAAGCACATGCTTCGCACACCCCTGCAAGACATCTGCTTCGTCGTAACTACGAAGAAGAAAGGCGCTTCGTAGATTTTACAATGCCTTCTTTTTCTTCTTATTACGAAGCGGTGCTTCGTAGACTCTTTTCTGTGCATACATTTTCGAGTGAAGGACTGCCACTGACTTAAATTGCGTACAATTGGGTTTGAGTCTCAGTTTGAGTGTACACGGCAAAAACGGAACCTGGTTTTCCCAGGAACTCCCTGGAAATCGCCTATGCCTCTACCATAGGCTTCCTGGGAAAACCACTCTGCAAACTCAACAGTGTACTCAGTACACTCTAGTTAGAGTGTGCTCATGAGTACACTCTAAGTAGCGTGTACTCGGATGAGTACACACACCTAAGCACGCCTGGCAATTTATGCAGCTGAAAGTGTGTACTCATCTGAGTACACGCTAGTTAGAGTGTACTCACTCATCTGAGTACACGCTAGTTACAGTGTACTCATCCGAGTACACGCTAGTTAGGGTGTACTCATGAGCACACTCTAACTAGAGTGTACTGAGTACACTGTTGAGTTTGCAGAGCAGGTTCCGTTTTTACCGTGTAGTGTGTTTTCCAATTGAATTGAGACAGGCTTTTTGCCTATACTTACAGGCGTTTGTCTCACAAATTGCCTACATTCAAGTGTATTTACCTTAGTGAAAGGGAGTGTAGGCTGGGCGCGCACAATGAGTCCAAAAAGCATACACTCTCATTCCACACTGTAAAAAAATCCGTACTTTTTTACGGAAATGGTACAGAAAAATATAGTATAGAGGTACGGAGGAAAGTACGGAACGTTCCGTACTTGCTCCAAAGGGTACGGAAAAAAGTACGGAACGTTCCGTTGTTGGCAAGTACGGACGGTCCAGGCAAATTATTGGCCAGACATGTTCCGTACTTTTTTCTCACAGTGCAGGAACGTGACATTTTGTCACGTTTCTGCTGTTTGGCCACCTAAATGAATGTGACACAATGCTCAAACGAACGAGACATTTTGTCACGTTCGTTTCAACGTGATGTCGCGCTCCTGGAATGAGAGGGTAGACCCAAGGGTAGACCCCTCGGACAGTCCGCAAAGCAAAGTGCGCCACGGCGATTGCCCCGCTGCAGGGCATGGTGCGGGACGGCGAGGTGCTGCTGCCCGACCTGCTGTACCCCGGCTTCATCAACGCGACGCTCCAGACGCTGACCGGCGAGCGCGTGGCCCGCGACCGCCACGACAAACTGCGCGGGCTGAGCCGCGCGGTGCGGCTCTTCCAGCGGCACCTTGAACCGAGCGGCGGCGCCGTCAACATCACGCCCTGGGCGCGCCACCTGCTGCCCGACACCCTGAGCGCCACGGGCCTGGAGCGCGCCAACCAGGGCGTGCAGGACTTCGTGGACGTGAGTTGGCGGCACAGTGGGCCACGAGACCGGTGGAGGCGGCCAAAAATCTAGGGGCGTTTGGGGCTCGTGAGTCCCGAGCAGGTCCTGAGTCACTCGAACCACCACCAATGGATACCTCGTTCGGAAAGCTATCCATTAGTGGGGTCACATGATCACTTCGAGTCCCATGCAGCGACTGTGGAGCTCAAAACGCGTCTGGAGTTTTGGCCGCCTGCGCCGGTCTTCTGGCCCACTGTGTCCAAATTATTTGTCCCAATTACCAATTCCAGTTTAGGTGAAAATACTCACGGAAAAATTGATATAGTAATTCAACTTGACCCCTTTCACGGTCTCAACTTTTTCGGCAAATGGAGGTATCTCAACTGAAATCCACATGACTCCGTTGCGAGAAATGATGAAAGGAACAAAAGGAGTGTCTCCTGAATAGTGATTAAAATTGAGTTATCCCCTTCTTCCGCTTCATGGATCATTTAATAGCAACTTATGACGCGGCAGGAACTGCTGGAGAGGGAGAAGCTCTCCTTCGACGAGAACGCGCTGCGCGGCTTCGTCGACGTGTTCCTCGCCGAGATGCGCAAGCGGCCAGACTCTCACTTCACAGGTGCGCTTCGATTTCGATGGGAGAATTATTGCGGATGAAATTTTCATCACTCAAATGACGACAGTTACGTCACAATTTCGGCACCGTCGGCAACACATGTGCCAGAGCCACCTTCGTTAATTCCCGACACACTTAAGACCCTAAAAGCTCTTTGTAATGCACAGAAAACCGAGGCTTCGCAACGCAGGATATTTTTGTAACACAAATGATTTTTGTTTGAAATACAAAGGAAAAATCCTTCGCAGGCTGCGAAAACTATCTTCGTAGGCTACCAAGGCTTTTGCATCACAAACAATATTGTTTGTATTACAAACGATTTCCTTCGTAGGCTGCGAAGCAGAGATCCTTAACTTACCTCATAAGGGCATCATAATGTTATCATAAGAGTTAAGTCATTACCCTTAACTTCTAACATCTTTTCGAAAGGGTGAGTTATTTTTTTATGTCTCGAATTTGTGTGGAAATACTTTTGCAAGTTCTTTCATAAGTCCGTACCCTTAACCTATAGCGAACATTGTCTTATGTTACGTTATGACAGCAGTGTTAGTTAAATGTTGAGTTAAGGATCCCTGCTGCGAAGCCTCCGTTTTCTTTGTAGCTACGAAGAACGTTCTTTGGGAATTGACCTGAGGATATATGACTTCCTCTAGTGTTACCTCCAACCATAGTGAATTCTGCCTTGACAGACAAGCAGCTGGCGGTGATGCTAGCGGACTTCCTGATCCCCTCGTCCACCGCGGTGCCCATCACGGTGGCCATGGCGCTAGCCTACCTCGCGCAGCACCCCGACAAGCAGGACGCCGCCCACCTGGAGATCGACGCGGTGGTGGGCAGGGGGCGGCTGCCCACCCTGGACGACCGGTCGAGGCAAGCAAGCAATACGCTACGTGTTTGTACAATTTGGCACGTTATGCTGAATGCTTTTAAATCTGTGTAATGTTTTGCATAAAAGTGCCCCCAAATTTGCACGAATTCATGCATTTTACCGCATCATATTAAGCGAATTCCACATGTGCAGCAAAATTCCACATTAACATAATGAGGATTTTGGCTGCACGTGTAACTTGTACGATTTAGCGTCATCACTGGGAAGTGTGATTTGGTCTATGAGGAGCTCAACGCTGTGAAGCGTGGACCACAGCTTAGTCCACGTTTCCTAGCGTAGACCATCGCTACCTAGTGTGGACCTGGTCCAAGTTTGGATTAGCAGTGTGTTCGCACAAGGAACTTTATCGGTTCCAACTTAAAGCTCAGCCAAGTGGTTCGCCACTTACGAATGCATCGCAAAGTGCAAACAGAATATCTTTTTCTTCTTTGCAACAGTTTAGCGGAGGAGCGAGAAAAGGGTCTTTTTAACTAACTTTTGTTTTCTTCTGAAGCCTGCCGTATACAGAGGCCATCCTCCGAGAAGTTTTGCGGCTGGACACCAACACGGCGCTGTCTGTGACGCATAAATGCACGCAGGACACGTTTTTCCGCGGGTACTTCGTGCCGAAGGTGCGATACAACCAGAGGAATGAACCTAGTTTTGGTCGGACGCGCTCATTTGAGGAGCGGCACATCACCTGGAAACCAGCGTGACAAAATGTCAGACTCGTTGAGCATAGTGTCACGCTCATTTCAAAGTGACGCCACGCTCCTGGAATGAGAGAGAAGCTAAACTTGCAGCTGCATTTCGGGAAGGATCTAAATTGGGCTCCTCGCAGGGCACGCTGCTCATCCCGAACATCTGGGCCGCCAACCGCGACCCCGCCGTGTTCGAGAAGGGCGACGAGTTCGGGCCGGAGCGCTTCCTGGACTCCCGGACGGGGACGCTCAAGAAGAAGGACCCCACGATGGCCTTCGGACTCGGTACGTACGGCGCCCTGCCGCCTGTCGCCAAGGGGTTACCCACTCAGGTAATCGTGTGTACACTTTGTCCAGTAATCATTGGTAATCACACACCAAAACTGGCCAGTTTCGCCGTTTTTATCGGATTTTGCAGGTTTTTCTTATGAAATTAGGCCAAAGCTCTTAGCTGGCCAAAATTATGGAGTTTTTTTAGTATGTTTGTAGGTAATCACTGGTAATCAGTAATCCTGTGTACACTCCTGAGCTGAGTGGTCAACCCCTTGCCTGCCGCACACTCATGCAGGTTGGGTGGCCCATGGCCGCGTGCGCAGGGGATCTTGACTTGAGAGGCAAGACCAAGACCACAAATGATCTTATGCCGTTTCGGCCATGAGACACACTCTAAATATCTTACAGTGAAATTTGAGCTATATTGCAGTGAATACGGCGCAAGCATAATACGAAGCAATATTCCTTCGTAATACGTATCTTTACACTGCCTTCGAACTATGCTTGCGCCGTTTTCTTCTTAGTATGGGATATCTCCTCGTAAGACATTCACAGTGCACTCACTTCATGTATAAAATGAAAACAAAAAGTATCTTCCTTTATAACTTTACATTCACGCAAAATACTTTGATACACTCTCAGACTCGAATTGACTTTTTTCTCTCCATTATTGATGCCTTTTCATCCTTCACTTTCCTAGTTTTGCAGCAATAATAAAAAGTATTTCCTTTGTAACGTGTACTCGTGAGTACACGACGGTGAGTACACGGTAAAAACGGTTCCTGGTTTACCCAGGAAGCCAATGGTGAAGACATAAGTAATTTCCAGGGACTTCCTGCGGGAAAACCAGGAAACGTGTTCACTCTGAAGAGACTGTACTGACAGCTGAGTTTGCAGAGCGGATGTTTTAGTCGTCCAAGTTCTCTCGCCTGCTGGGCAGGTGACCAACTTCTCCGGCTCGTCTGTTCCTAAGCTCGCTTGGGCCGTGTTGGCAGGCAAGCGGCTGTGCCCCGGGGAGACGTTCTCCAGACAGACCATGTTCCTGTACCTGTCGGCGCTGCTGCAGAACTACTCCTTCGCCGTCTCCGCCGACGGCTACCTGCCTTCCGAGGAGGACATGATCCCCGGGTTCCTGGTGACGCCCAAGTCGTTCTGGCTGCGCGTCGCGGCGCGGCCGTGACCGACGAAGCCGTCTCCGTGGTTTGAAGGCGTGTCTTCTAGGGAAAGTGCACGGCTGTTACTTCAGTACGAATGGACCGGAAATGAAATGACATTTGGAGTGGAAGTAACTGTGCGGTTTGTAGGAACGCTTTCTTTTCATGATGATCGGACTTTACTGATGTGATGCGATTAGAAGCCGCTCACACAGAGTAGGGTGTTTTCTGCCACAAATACTTGCTGAAGGCTGCCTCTCTCATCATCATCAGCGCTGTTCTGCGGCACTGTTATTTCTTGAATGTTTTCTCAAATGTGACTTCCTACATATTTTGCTATTGTACGAGTGAATGTTAATTTAAGTATGGTGGTGCTTAAGCGCAGAGCACATTCATCTCTGGTGTACAGAACCACTTCAACTGTGATAAAGTTAATAAAGTATGTTTTAATGTTTTAATGATGTTGACAATGACAGTGAGATGGTGAGACCAGCCGGTGGCAACTCCCCTTGCCGGGCTGAAACCAGGCTCGGAAGCGGAGCGGCTCCGTTTTCCAACTTTTAAACGAATAAAGCTAATGGAAGCTATTTGATTGCCACATAACGAGTACATCAGGGCAACGTAAAATTTCACGTAGATTACGATTCTGCACTTACATTTGCAAAAAGACGAAGGATTGTGGAAATAATCACGGATTATGTTCATATTGCGGCGTCGGCTCGCTCGTATCAGCTCGTCTCATATTTGCCGAATGTTAATGTAAACAAACTAAAGTAGCTAGAAGAATACGGTCACTTGCAATCGAAAGATCACATTTTTTTCCTTGGTATAGAGACCATTGCAAAGTTCGAACGCCCGCTAAAACAAGTATTTCTGTAAAGAAACAACAGGGAATGATTTGAGCCGACATAACCTCAATTCCGGAACAGGTTTTGTTTCTCTGTTTAAATACTTGTTTTAGCCGGCGTTCGAGCTTTGCAATAGTCAAAATACCAAGGGAAAAAGTGTGATCTTTCGATTGCAAGTGACCGTTTTCCTCTAGCTGCTTTAGTTTGTTTACATTAACATTCGGCAAATATGAGACGAGCTGATACGAGCGAGCCAACGCCGCAATATGAACATAATCCGTGATTATTTCCGCAATCCTTCGTCCTTTTGCAAATGTAAGTGCAGAATCGTAATCTACGTGATATTTTACGTTGCCCTGATGTACTCGTTATGTGGCAATCAAATAGCTTCTATTAGCTTTATTCGTTTAAAAGTTGGAAAACGGAGCCGCTCTGCTTCCGAGCCTGGTTTCAGCCGGGCAAGGGGATCCCCAGCCAGAAATGCTTCATCGAGTCAACGTCGATTCGACGTCGAAACCATCGATAGCCCGTCGATGGCCTGCTAGTCGATGATTCGATGTCATTTCGACTTTCGCGGGGAATTACCCAAACGCCAAGGAGGCTATAATAGTTTAGTACTAAATAGATAAAAACCGAAAAAATCGATCAGTTGTCGCATGAAAGTAAGTTTCTAAGGATCAACGTCGAATCGACGTCGATTCGATCGGGTACTTTGTTTACATCAAGGCAACGATATTTCGACGCAATATCGACTTTGTACAAAAATCAATTCACATTGCTCAAAGCATAGAAATATTTGTAGCGTGGTCGTAGTGTGTTAAAAAAACGTGCCATTTCATGGTCCATTTAGAGTTTAGTTTCTGCGTTTTAAAACGCACAAGTGAACATATTTGTTGTCATCGTGCGCCGCGTTTCGAATTAGCCAAACTTATAGCCCGACCAACGTCAGCGAGCAGACGACAGCAACGGCTGCACCTGTAGGGATCAGTTGTCTTCTTCCAGAGAGCAAGTCTCGCAGCGCAACGGTTAGCGTCGAGGGCTGCCGTGCGGGAGGCAGTGGGTTCGAAACCCGCCTGAGTGCGAGGTCCGAGCGCGTTTCTCGCTACGTCACCGTCGCCTCTACTCCACCACAGTTGCCAGGAGCGACAATATTTTGAAAATTGCCGCCGCCCTGAAATTTACGTCGAGGTCGATGATACGTCGATATGAGGACCATATACTGGTCGAATCGACCAAGCAAATCGACATTCGATCGATCAACCCTTTCGACGTCGAATCGACGTTGCTTCGATGAAGCATTTCTGGCTGGGGGAGTTGCCACCGGCTGGTGAGACTCATTACCTAAAAAGTTCGCAATCATGGGTCCTATGAACAAAGACTGTTATGCTTTGCATCGTTTCAGCCAAGACCGCTATGCTTTGCATCGGTTGAGCAAAGACCGATTGCATATTTGAGGTTAGATCGCCTTCTCATTTCATCTTAGTTCCCTAGTACGAACAAATGTGAGAAGATTGCGTGCTCATTTTGTGCATAAAACATTAGAGAATCAGATAATGTCAATGTGCAGTCCGCGATTTTATTACGTCCATTGAAAGCCGCGCGCGTTTCTTATGGAAGAGGGAGAAGCTACCAAGAAGCTTATCGGTCTATGTTAAACGGAAGCAAAGCATCGCGGTCTTTGTTCAAACGATGCAAAGCGTAGCGGTCATTGATCAAACGATGCAAAGCATAGCGGTCTTTGTTCAAAGGACCCATCGTAAAAAGTGCCACCAAAAAAAAGTTACATTTAAAAGTTGTCATAAAAGGGCGGTAGTTACTTTTTGACAAACAGTGAAGTTGTCTGTCGTACGCATGAGAGGCTAGCCTATTGGGAGTGATGATTGAGACGCTCGTGAATTCAAGAGGTTCTCTCTTATATTATACTCAGTTGCTCACGAAAAGTAGCTGAGGAGAAGCCCCCGCTGAAGTGGGAACCCCGCTCAAGTGACGCGGTTCCCATTTGTCACCGTGACTAGTTTGTTGTTCATAAGCGAAGTTACTTTGGAGTATCACACTTCCCTTTGTTGAAGCTGTACTGTTTCGCCCTTTCGTGACAACTCTTATTCGTCAAGACAAAAGCTCACCCCTACACTGAGATTGAAAAAGTCTTGATTCGCACTGCGAAGGCCTTTTTGAGCCAGAAAACTCCACAACCGAAAGTGCACCCCAGACCAAACCATGCATGTCTGACGCGAACGAAATCCACTTATAGACTTGTCATGACGTGCCTTACTCCATGCGCAAAAAATGGAACGAGAACGGGGTTTTCGTGTCGGAGCGAACGCCGTCGTGAATGAGTTAATACCTAATTTCAGGTGAGGTATACTCTGTCACACCCAAAATTTTAGTCGTGATTACGTATGACCTTTCTCAGTGTTGAGAAGTCTAGTCTTTTAATATTCGGGAAAGTATGATTGTTATATTTTCTTCCTCTTAAATTAGTGTGAAATCACTGAGGAATAGGAACCTGGGCGCGTCCAGAATTTCGAAAACTATTAAGGGTCGAACATTGAAGTCGAAATGATGTCAAATGAGAGGTGAAGACAGAATTACGTCCGGAAGAGGTCACGGTGAGGAACAGACAGAAAATTGACGTAAAAATGACTTCTGCACATATCAGATGCACTGCGATTTTGATTGAACTCGTGTTGGAAAAGTGCTCAAACATGCCCAAAGTTTAGTTTGGGTCTAAAACATGACAGATTCAAGGCAAAATGACAAGCAGGCGATACCATGCGGGATGTTCACACTTCATTAAAGTGCTGTCCATGTTGTTGTAGTACCTCATGTAAAGGATTACTGTAAAGTGTTCGGTTCAGCATAAAGAACAACTCTGTACAACCGGTATATCTCATTGAATATACTTCTTTTATTATTTCAGAAGAAAAAAAATCGAACATACCGGGCACAACAAGAACGACCTTGAGTCAAAAGAAAAAACAAGAAATAATTGAATTGGCAGTGATATTAGAACACAGTCAAAATTCGTAAAAACAAAATTTAAAAGCGCAAGCCTGGCTTACAAGGTTGAAAACTTCCCGGCGTCTACCCGCATTTGAGTACCACTGCGCCGGGCACCTAGGCCACTCCCAAAAAGGGCTTCCCCTCCTCAACAAGCGAAAACCCTCAACCAGTGCAAACTGAAGTGTGTATATAGTGCACACTACAAACCTAACTGTCTACTAAGTACACACTTACAAATGCATGCCTGCAAGTACACACTTACAAACGCATGCTTGGCCAAGTACACACCTACAAATGCATGCTTGCAAGTACACACTTACAAACGCATGCTTGACGCCATGTAACTCCATGCGTCAAGCATGCGTTTGTAAGTGTGTACTTGCAAGCATGCATTTGTAAGTGTGTACTTGGCCAAGCATGTGTTTGTAAGTGTGTACTTGCAGGCATGCATTTGTAAGTGTGTACTTAGTAGACAGTTAGGTTTGCAGTGCACTCTTATTTACAGCATGTCCCTACGTAGTCTTTTGAACAGCATACCTGCTAGGCACACGCTTAAGTAGAGTGTGCCTGCAAGCATACGCTAAGTAAGAGTGTACCCGCAAGTACACTTCAAGTGGCCCATTTAAGCGAGTACTTGCAGGCACACTCTAATTGAGTCCACATATGAGGCACACTCCATTTTAGCCTGTGCTTGGAAGTATCCTGCAAATAAGAGTGTGATTGGAAGCAAGCTGTTAAAAGGAATGCACTATGAACACATTTTAGGTTGGAGAGCACTCTATTCCTATACAACATTTCACAACATTTATTTGCACCTGCACTCCATTCCGATACAATATTTCACAACATTTATTTGCACCTGCACTCCATTCCAAAAAATATTTCGCAACATTTATTTGCACCTGCACTCTATACCTAAACAATATTTCGCAACATGTATTTTCACCAATGCAAATGAACTATACTTCTACCCATTAATTACAGGGTCTCCCCTTGCAAGTTCGGAAATGTCTCTTAGGTTCCCCTCCAAGGGACTTCATTTTTGTGTAAACCGTACAGTGAAAAGGCTTCGCCTATGTATTGGTTCGGAGATGGGTCCTCAGCCCACCTACCGCGGTGAACATTTCAGTGCAAATAACTGTATACGTAAAAGGGTTAATCCCCCGTATGGGTTCGGAGGTGTATCCTGAGATTACCTGACTGGGTGAACTTTTTGGTGCAAATTGTACACTCAAAAGGTTTATCCCCTGTATGGGTTCGGAGGTGTATCCTGAGATTACCTGACTGGGCGAACTTTTTGGTGCAAATTGTACACTGGAAAGGTTTATCCCCTGTATGGGTTCGGAGGTGTCTCCTGAGATCAGATGCCTCGATGAACTTTTTGGTGCAAATTGTACACTGGTAAGGTTTATCCCCTGTATGGGTTCGGAGATGTGTCCTGAGATCAGATACCTTGATGAACTTTGTGGTGCAAATTGCACACTCATAAGGTTTATCCCCTGTATGGGTTCGGAGATGTGTCCTGAGAGTACCTGCCTGAGTGAACTTTTTGGTGCAAATTGTACACTCAAAAGGTTTATCCCCTGTATGGGTTCGGAGGTGTATCCTGAGATCAGATGCCTTGATGAACTTTTTGGTGCAAATTGCACACTCATAAGGTTTATCCCCTGTATGGGTTCGAAGATGTATCCTGAGAGTACCTTCCTGAGCGAACTTTTTGGTGCAAATGGTACACTCAAAAGGTTTATCCCCTGTATGGGTCCGGAGATGTCTCCTGAGAGTACCTGCCTCGGTGAACTTTCTGGTGCAAATTGCACACTCGAAAGGTTTATCCCCTGTATGGGTTTGGTAATGTCTTCGCAGACTCGTGTCAGAAGAGAGCTGCTTGTGGCACAAAACGCACACGGAAGGCTTGTCCTCTGAACGGGCCCCGGCAGCGGCCGGAAGACCATGGCCGTCGATGACATCTCTGCAAACGTTGTCTTGTCCCATCCTCTTCTTTCTTGGAGGCATTGTATTGACTCGGGATCCGCAGGAAATATCTGCATTACGTGAAAGACGTGGGTGAGCATATTGACAATGTGCAACGGCAAATGCAGTCAGGGCGCTCGTATTTGCAAAACGTACCTCCTAGGCTGAGCCGTCCTGAGCACTGAATCGTAGTTCTGGAGTAACAGCAACTTGATGACGATTCAGCTCGCGCGAGAAGGCGGCCTTAAATACCTGAAAACAAAAGAGGAAACGAGATCGTATTAAGAGGACAACAGGGGCATTCCATGCCAGATCATCCGGGAGCCCAAATTATAAGTCTGTTAGACGAAACTTTGCTGGTGTTTTCACTAAGGGTAGGTTGGGTAAGAAAAGTACACTCGAAGCTCGGGTAAGAAAAGTACACCCGTTATATCTCCGAACTGAAACTACACTGAACCATCACGTTAGTGGTTTTAGAAAGATTGGTCATCCCGCTGACAAAAAATAAATTTAGCCCAGTTCTACATATAATATTTAGAAACTAACTGCACGTTTGAAAAACACATTAAAAATAACTATGAAAATCTTTTTAAATGTTTGTACTTTGAAGTACAGCTTCGTGCAGAATCAGTCGACAGTCCAATGTAAGGAACCACCTTATAGCTTAGACCATCATCTTTGAAAAACAGTGCCGTTCGATGCTCTCAGGCTTCAACACAATGTTTTATAAGTGTAAAAATGAAATGGGGAAGAAAAGTACAGTCGGCTGGGGAAGAAAAGTACAGGCATTGGGGAAGAAAAGAACACCCTCTAAGAAACTAAAAGCGGGATGAAAATTGAATTGATCACGGAAATAAATTTGATTAGGCGAGACAAGCAAAAAATGTCAACACAAGTTATAGAATTAGACTCGAAATAAACAAGTTATTGGGCATTTACGTGAAAAGGGGAAGAAAAGTACAAAAATGCTGTACCCACTTATCTCTGAGAAACGGCTTCTTGGACCTTCTGTGATGACTGCATGTAGAATCAGAACCAATTGACCGATTTTGACGAAACTTGAACTAATGGCAAGTGAAAGCTCTCCACTTTAGGGGTAAACGTGTATTGAGCCAGGATTGGTGGTCTCCTGAGTCGAAATCGCAATTCTTTTCGTTGTACTTTTCTTTCCCGGTGGTGTACTTTTCTTACCCTTTTCGAGGAGTTCCGAAATCACATACATTTCAGCATGTTGTACGTAATGTGGGGAACTATAATCAATGCAGAGTGATCCATTTCATTAGGAACGCATTGGATTACAAGTTCACGAGAGCAGAATAGTTGAATCCTCATTTGGGACTTCTGTACAGTGCAAAGTACGCGTTTTGTACTTTTCTTTCCCAACCTACCCCTATGTAGCAAAGAGCTTTAAATAAAATTCAATTCTTTTGGACGTTAACAGTTAAAATGTCCCAAGTCTCACACTTGGAGTGGCAGTGCACCGTTCTGAACGCTCGGGGTGTCCCACCACACCTTAAATGCTACGGGTTGATAAAATAAATCATTATGCTAGGTGCATGGATGATATATTCCAGAGAGGGTCTGAAACGGAAGCCAGGAGCCGCAATCAAAGCCAGATGATCATACGAGCAAAATTCCGAAAGCGTAACGATAACACTCTAGTGCAAATCAATATGATTCATCAAGTACTGTATTCATGTGGTTCCAGCGCTGCATATACGGTAACTCACAGGCGCATACAAAGAAGTGCCGTAACTTCTGTGATTCTGGTGAAGATTGCAGTTCTTGGCGTCCGGTCCAGGACTCCTCCGAACTACACTATTGCGGACCGCCCTGAAGACCTTTCCGATGCAGCAAACATTAAGAATGTTAAAGGAGGTCAAATTCGGCATTTAACATGCTTCTAAATTATGCCGTACCTTTACCCAACGTTCCTGACCAGACGAGAATGTGCCATACATGGCGGACAGATGCATAAGGGGCGTCCTCGCAGGGATCATAAGGAGGATGTAGGCCCTCCACATGAGACTAGCTCGCCATTATCCGAGAGATTTCACTTGCAGACGGGAAGTTCAAACAGATGAGGCACTAAAGTAGATTGTCTTAAGGACACCAAATGATCTCAGGAGCCTCCAGATGACATCAAGTTTGTGCCACACTGAAGTCTGGGCCGGAAACCGGATGCTAACATCTTGACCGGAAATAAAGGTTTACACCGGAAGGGAAGGTTTG